AGTCGGATGCTTAACCGACTGCGCCACCCAGGCGCCCCTCCAATAGAACTTTCTGTACTGATGGGAATGCTCTGTACTATCCAGTATGGTAGCCACTGGACTAGACACATATGGGTACTGTGTAGTGGAATATGGCTAGCACAATATAGGAACTTCATTTTTAATAAAATTTAAATTTAAATGCCATTTGGTTACTTGCTACCCTGTTGGACAACACAGTTCTAGACCCTCTGGTATAGGGGTTGGCAAATGATGGCCCATGAGCCAACTGCACCCCACCATCTGTTTTCATGCAGCCTGTGAGCTAAGAATGATTTATCGTATTTTTATTAAAAAAATTTTTTTTATTAAAATTTATTTATTTTTGGAGAGCCAGAGAGAGACAGAGCATGAGCAGGGGAGGTGCAGAGAGAGGGAGACACAGAATCGGAAGCAGGCTCCAGGCTCTGAGCTGTCAGCAAAGAGCCCTCTGTGGGGCTCGAACCCATGAACCGTGAGATCGTGACCTGAGCCGAAGTCAGTCGCCCAACCAACTGAGCCACCCAAGTGCCTCAATTTATCATATTTTTAAATGGGAGGGGAAAAAAAATCAAAAGAAAAAGAAGATCTCATGATAGGTAATAATTTTATGAAATTCAAATTTCAGCTTCCATAAAGAGTTTTATTGGAATACAACCACACTCATTCATTTATACATAGCCTATGGCTGCTTTTACACGATAGCAGAACTGAGTTGTGATAGAGACCATATGGCTTACAAAGCCTGAAATATTTACTGCATAGCCGTGTACAGAAAAAGTTTGCCAACCTCGGCCTACAGCCTGAGGGGAGAGAGAGAGAACTCTATGGGCCAACCAGAAATCCAAGTTTCAAGGTTATATCTTTCATTGCACTACAATCACATGGTCTCCTTTGGCTCTTCCAGCAGCCCCAGGAAATAGATGGGGCAAGTGAGGAAACGAAGAAACAGAAAAGTCATGTCATTTTTCCCAAGGTCTCACTGTTGGCCAATAAGAGACCAACTTCCATCTCTCCACCTCACTCTCATACTCTGTCCCCAGCGTCATACCGTCTGCTAGCAGAGTAACCAGTTCCTTTGTTCATGCCCCAAATATTATTTAGCCCCCAACCACGTGGCAGGGGCTTTGTCTGCACTGGAGATACAATGAGAGGGGCATCCCTCATGGAACTGACATTGCAGTGGGAAGGCAGGCATTTAATCACTTTCTGTGCTGAGTGCTAGGAAGGAAGGGCACAGGGCATGGTGAGAGTGAACCCCAAAGTGACCTAATTTAGCCTGGTGTATCAGGAAGCACTTGTGGAATGAGGTGATGTTTCAATTAAGACCTGAAGGATCAATTGGCCTATGAAGGTGGGAGGTAGGGAATATCATGTGAAGACTGGGGCAGAAAGATATTTGGTGAGTTCAAGAAGCTGAAAGGCCAGAGTGGCTAGAACAAAATCGACAGTGGGGTAGTGACAGGAGAGAAGGCTGAAGAAATCAGGCAGTGGCCAAGTGATAACGGCAAGTTTTAGGTCCCATTAAAAACCGGGAGCTTGATCCTAAAATTGATAGGAAGATACTGCAAACTGCTGTAGTTTGGGTTCCTCTGAAAGCAGAGCCTGAGGCAAGGACTTGGGTGCAGGTAGTTTATTTGGGACGAGATTCCAGAAAGCCAGGGCAAGGAACAGAGAAACTGGGAATGGAGGGGTGGGAAACCCACTAAAGGGTGCGTTACTGAGCTGATACCAAGGTGGGCAACTGGGGCTCAGTCCTGCTGGGGACCTTCTAAAGACCTGTGTGGAAGGTGCCCTGGTTGAGAGTCTCTCAAGTGCACTTGGGGAGGGGGTGCTGGTAGTAGGCACAGAACTGTACACATAGCATGCTGAATTCAGGTAGGACAAGGCAACTTGACGGGGCAGAGGGGACACAGCGTTTGGCACAAATGGTTTTAGACAATTAGATTCATGTGTTTAAAGTAATTCTTTCAGACTGGAATAGAGAGGGGGTAGAATGGAAGCCAGGATCCCTACAGGGGAAATTCCTCTAGTGGCAGAGGTGGTAAATGATAATGGGTTGAATGGGAGGTTAGCAGGGAGAATACAGAGAAGTAGGTGAATCAGATAAATATATGGTAGTTGGAATCTATGGGTCTAGACGGCCAATGCTGGGCCTATGGAGGGAAGTCAGGAGGACATGCAGGTTTTGAGGGGATGGCAGTGTCATTTATCAAGATAGGAAACACTGACGGAGAAACAGGTTTGGGGCGAGAGAGGGAAAACGTTGGATATAAGCTCAGTTTGGGATACAACGAGTCTGACGTGTCTGCAGGTATCCAAAATGGAGATGTTGAGAAAGTGACTGGATATAGAGATGGGTGTAGCAGGAAGGCCTTAAAATGGTCCCCGAAGCCTCCCACCTCCTGGCATTCAGAGCCTTGCATAACACCTCTCCTTTAATGACTTGCTTCTAACCAATGGAATCAGCAATCTGTGAGAGGGTGTCACTTCTGTGATTAGTTTACAAAAGCAAAAAGATGTAACTTCCATCTTGGTAGAAGCCTCTCTCATTGCCTTTGTGGCCCCCATGTCTTGAAGCAAGGTATCATGGTGTAAGCTGCTCTCTGGGGAGGCCCACATGGTAAAGGACAGAGAACAGCCTCTAGCCAATAGCCAGCAGGGAACTGAGGCCCTCGGTGCAACCACCCAGTAGGTATTGAATGCTGCCCGTAATCACGTGAGTGAGTAAGCCTAGAAGTGGACCCATTCCCAGCCCAGCCTTCAGATAAGACCCCAGCACTGGCCAACACCTTGATTGCAGCTTCATGAGAGACTCTAAAGAACTCACCTAAACCATGCTAAGACTCCTGACTCACAGAAACTGTGAGATAATAAAGGTGTATAGTTTTAAACCATGAATCCTTGGGATAAATTGTTATGCAGCAACAGATAACTAAGACAGTGAGACTGGACTCAGATTGCAAAAGGCAAGTGGGGTGGGGAGGTGAAGACAGTAGTCCCCAGACTGCTACCTGTGTAAATGATCCAAATTAAGTCCTTCTCAGGGTTTCAGTTTCCTTTCCAATAAAATATTTCTTACCCTGCTCATTACTATGTCACAATATAAGACACTCTGGAAAAGTACTCACATCATATGCAAATCTAAAGTAGGAATGTGTTTAAGACCTCTGACATGAGCATTCCAGGGCCAACAGTCATTGAGCCCACAGAAATCAATGTCTAAGACTTTCCTCCATGCCTCCCATCCACGCACCTTTAGAAAATTTGCAATGATGAGAAATGCAGAAGGTGGAGTTAAAACGATGTTGACAATGTATAGTTGAGGATGAATTGATGCGAGTGAAGAATAAAACTTACTTTTTAATAGCAATCAGCTCCCCAGACTCAATGCTTCGTCCCAGTAGGACGGAACCATAGGTTCCATCCCCAAGTTGCTTGATCGTTGTGTATCTATTCATGGTGTGCCCGCTCAGGCCGGACACTCATCTCAGGGCCGAGGCGGTGCAGTCCTGCAGAGGCAGCAGGCCTCCCCGGAGTGTAACCAGATTTTTCGATGGCAGCACCAGCACAAGGTATTCAACAGAACGTGACTATCTCCCAAATACATATTTTCAAAGATCAGTCTTCTGCCTGGAGAGAAAAATGAGAGACAAGGGTAATTGCCAAGGTACATTTTAAGTTTGGGTATTTTTATCATCTAAATCAGGAGTCAGCAAACTATAACCCCCCAGGCTGCCACCTGTTGTTGTAAATAAAGTTTTATAGGAACACAGTTATGGCCACCTACTTGCATACTGTCGACAGCTGCATTCACACTACAAGAACAGAGGTGAGTGGTTGTGACAAAGACTATATGGCCTACAAAACCTAAAGTATTTATCATCTGGCCCTTTACAGAAAAAGTTTGCCAACCTCTGGCCTAAATAATGCTCTTTTCCAATTTTTACAAAATGAGAGATACCATTCTTGGAAAGTGAATTCGTCACTGACTCAGAAATGAATCAGTTCCAATTCAATGCTTTTCTGCTGACCAGCCACTGTGGGCAAACACTGCATGAAAACTATGGTCGACAAAAATTGCCGAGCTACAAGAATCTGTATATTTAGTCCAGATTTAGTACTAAATATACTGGGTTCTGTGTAATTCTGCTACAATTTCCAATGTAACAAAGCCAAGAAATGCTAAAATTAAAGCTCTCCTGATACGGAACTTACATGTGCTCCACGAACTATTTGTGGTTAGGCATCAACAGTATTATTTTTACTACTAGACGTATAGAAGCTAAACAAAGAACAGCTAATTTCTTAAGGTCTATATGTAGGGTATGCCCTTTTAAAGTCATTCAGTTGTGGGGCACCTGGGTGGCTCAGTCAGTTAAGCATTTGATTCTTGATCTCAGCTCAGGTCATGATCTCAGTCTGTGAGATAGAGCCCTGCACAGGGCTCTGTGCTGACAGCATGGAGCCTGTTTGGGATTCTCTCCCTCCCTCTCTCTCTGTCCCTCCTTTGCTCATGCTGGCTCACTCTCTCTCTCGAAATAAATAAACTTAAAAAAAAAAGTCATTCAGTTGTGTTTTCTTTAATAAATCGCTGATTTTTCAATTTATAAAATTGAGTCATTCAGTCTGCCTGGTAATAGAGAATATGTAGTAATAACTTAAGTGATTGCAATGCTTTTATATAAACATTAATAAAATATAAAAGCTAAAATAAAAGTAAGTTTTTTTTTTAAATATAAGCTCTACACCCAACATGGGGCTTGAACTTATGACCCTGAGATCAAGAGTCACATGCTCTACCAACTGAGCCAGCCAGGCACCTTGAAAATAAAGGTATTAAAAAACAAACAAACAAAAAAAAAACCCCTAGAGCTGTCAAACTAATTATTGAGAAGCCAAAAGATCAGAGAATACTGATTAGAAGTATGTGATATTCTGCACCTAAATCCAGTCTATGCAGCTTCTCCTTCCAGAAGAATTCCAGTGAATAAATGTTGATGGAAAGAGGAAAATAAAAAATTCACTATTAGGTAAATACCACAGTAAGATGTGTTACAGATAACATTCACTGATGGATGCAGCTATTAGTGAATGAAAGGTGGAGGAGAAACTGGATATTTGCATAGTTTCAAAGTATCTCTTAAGACACTTACTAACTCCAAAAGGAAAGATGATTAACTCCATAGGGAAAAATCCAGCAAAAACTTCCTTACCCAAGTGATCAAATTCAATGTAACCATTAATAAAACTTATGTCATCATGAACTCTGGATATGATGCTTTGAGAAGGGCATATCCCTTCCGTGGCATTCTTATCAAAAACGCAGAACTTCAATCTATTCATAGGAAAACTTCAGACAAACCCAAAATGAGGGACATTCTACAAACAAATGACTAATAGTCTTCAAAAGTGTCAAGATCATAAAAGGCAGGGATAGGCTGAAGAACTGTCACAGATTGGAGACAATTAAAGAGACATGACACCTAAATGCAATATGGGATCCTGAATTGGATCCTGGAAGAGAAAAAAGACATTAGTGGAAAAGTTGGTGAAATTTGAATAAGGTCTGTAGTTTAGTTAATAGCATAGTGCCAATGCTAATTTCCTAGTTTTGATCATTGTTTTATGGTTATGGAAGATATTAATATCAGGGGAAGATGAGTGAAGGATTTCTAGGAATTCTCTGCACTATTTTTTGCAACTCTTCTGGAAATCTAAAATTAGTTCAGAATTAAAAATAAATCCAGGGCACTTGGGTGGCTCAGCTGGTAGAGCATGTGACACGTGATCTGAGGATTGTGAGTTTGAGCCCTATGTTGGGAGTAGAGATTACATTAAAACATTTTTTTAATAAAATAAAATATTAAAAAATAAATCCAGTTACAACCTACTGAATGGGAGGAGATATTTGCAAATGATATATCTGATAAGGGGTTAATGTTCAAAATATATAAAGAACTGATACAACTGAACACCAAAGAAACAAATAATTCAATTAAAAATGTGCAGGGGCCTGAATAGACATTTTTCCAAAAAAGACCTACAGATGGCCAACAGACACATGAAAAGATACTCAGTATCACTCATCATCAGGGACCTGTAAGTCAAAAATACAAGATATCACCTCACACCTGTCAGGATGGCTAAAATAAACAAACAACAAGTGTTAGTGAGGATGTGGAGAAAAAGGAACCCCTGTGCACTATTAGTGAGAATGCAAACTGGTGTAGCCACTGTGGCATGGAGGTTCCTCAAGACATTAAAAATAGAATTACCATGTGATCCAGTAACTGCACTACTGGGTATTTACCCAAAGAAAAAGAAAACACTAATTCAAAAACATATATGCACCCCTATGTTTATTGCAGCATTATTTAGAATAGTCAAGATATGGAAGCAACCCAAGTGTCCATTGACAGATTGATGGATAAAGATGTGACACACACACACACACACACACACACACACACACACACACACGAATAGTACTCAGCCATAAAAAAGAATGAACCTTGTTATTTGCAACAACATAGATGAACCAAGAGAGTATGTTAAGTGGAGTAAGTCAGTCAGGGAAAGACAAATATCATATGATTTCACTCACATGTGGAGTTTAAGAAACAAAACAAAACAAAGGAGACAAACAAAAAAGACTGTTAAATATAGAGAACAAACTGTGGTTGCCAGAGGGGAGGTAGATGAAGGGATGGGTTAAAAAAACAAAAAACCAAAAAAACCAGTCTATGTTCTTGTGAAGGTTGTGCAAGACCTCAGGAAGCTTTACATGTAAAGGTTATGTCTGATTTCACCACACTCTATCATATAACTGGAGAGCTTTCTGAGATTAAGCTTCCCCCATCGCAAACTCATTTCCCTCTCTCTAGAGCCATTTTAAGGCCCCTGGTTAAAGGGGCATTTTCCTTCATCTTGAAGCGCTACAGGATCAAACTCCCTGCAACTTCCTGCAGCAGCTCTTTATAGTGATGTATTCCATTGCTGATTGATAAATATTTATAAAGCACCTTCTGTATGATAGACCCTATGTTAAAGCCTGGGGATACAAAGAATATACAATATCGTTCCTTTTTTCAAAGATCCTAGTCTCATGGCAGGGGATGAGGCTGGTGGGTGGGCCCAGATATGTACTCATGAATATGCACTAAGGTATTTCAAAAACACTTAGGTTTGAGGTACAGGACGTGGGAGGGGTTAAAGAGAAAGCCTGCCACCGGCTTCCAGCTAGGTCAATTCCATCTGGGCTGAGGAGGGCATAAGCAAAGTCTTCATAAAAGATGGAGCTTGAAAAAAACAAGAAAAGTAGGTGTTCTGTTAGGTAAGACATTCTAGCAGTCCAAGGAGCTGAAACAAAGGCATAGGGGCTTCAACCTGGGAGGGAGGGGGTGGGGAGCTTGGGACTGGAGAGACAGAACCCCAGAGTTTTATTTGTGGAGGGCCTCAGATGCTATTTTGAAAAACAGAGGCTTCGACTGGATTCTGTACTAGGGGAGAAGGAAGCACTACAAAGGACGTCATTGGATCAGTGAAAAGGACTGGAATACAGATGACAGATTAGGTAAAAGTACTGCATCTGTATTACATTTCCTGAAGTTGATGCTTGTCCTGTGGTTCTATAAGAACATAGTGTTAGTTTTAGAAAATACATCCTGAAGGATATATAAGTAAAGGACCACGATGTATGCAATTTCTTCTCCACTGGGTAGAACAAAAATATTATGTGTGTGAGGGGGAAGAGTGTGAGTATAGAGAGGGAACAAATGGGGTAAAATGTGAATAATAGGTATATTGGGGTAAAGGTATATGGGTTTTCTTTGTACGATTCTTGCAAGTTTCTTCCTGTATGTTTTAAATTACTCTACATTAGGAGTTTAAAAGTGCTCTTCAAAATTGTAGAGGAAGGGAATCATTTTATTTCAGCTTAAAACATACAAATGTAGATTTATTCAATAAAACTTACTATTAGAGGGGCGCCTGGGTGGCTCAGTCGGTTAAGCATCCAACTTCAGCTCAGGGCATGATCTCACAGTCTGTGAGTTCAAGCCCCGCGCTGGGCTCTGTGCTGACAGCCTGGAGCCTGGAGCCTGCTTCAGATTCTATGTCTCCCTCTCTCTGACCCTCCCCCGTTCACACTCTGTCTTTCTCTCTCTCAAAAATAAATAAACACTAAAAAAATTAAAAACAAAACCCCTACTATTAGAACACTATCATATACCATGGCTGTGTCTCAACATAACACAGAAAGAGTACTTGAACCACAACATAGGCAATTTTTGACTCTGCATTTGTTTTCCCCTTTTTCATATTTATCTCCATCTATTTTTGATGACATATATGATTTCTACATCATTCATAATTTCATTTCCAACAAATAAAAATTCCTAAACCATTGTTGTATGTCATCTTCCTAAAAATCACTGGTACCTTGATTTGTCACATATCA